TCTTATTTTAAGGTTAGATTTAAAACTTTTGAAAATTTTTAATGGTATAACATTTACATCGGCACCTGTATCTAAAGTTGTTTCAATTTTGATATGTTCAATTTCTAAATATTCTTCCCACATACCTTTGTTCTTTTTGTTTACCTTAACATTTACTATAAAAATTTTACTAGAACTGCTCTGACCTTCTTCGCTATCTTCATCTACTTTCCTTATATTTCTGACTCGGCATGATACAGCAAAGTGATTTTTAATTCCACATTTGGCACATCTTTTCCCGAAAGCTCGGCTTTCCCGTGGTCCATGAGTCACTCTGCATAAAAATATATTCTTTTCTTTATATTTAATATCATTTTCTCTTTAATTTTCCCTTCTTATATTCCTATTTTATTCGTTATAATCATTTCTCCTTACAAAATTAATCTTGGATGTATATTGGAATTGTAAATTTTGGCTTTTGCTTTGCTCGCTGGTTCTGTAGAATTGAACAGACTTGTCTAGTGTCAGTTGATCAATCCTTAAGAGTGCTTTTCTGGTGGTGGGGTCTCTAATACCTATAACAATTTTATAACGAAGTACTTTGTTTTCGTTGGTTTCATTTGGATCTACCTCGTTATAACTTTTTATCAAATACCTGCACTCAGTTATAACATTTTCAAAGGTCTCGCCCTCTTTCTGAACCTTCTTCATGAAATTATATCGTTCGAAACATTCATTCACCCTTGGGTTAACATATTTGTCTAACAAGCTCATAATAAAGTCAAATTTGTCGTGCTTTGCAGCAGGTACTGAGAATGTGGACATTACTGCACGCATAATGTTCACATTCTCCGATAATGTTTCTCAGGATGGATGGTCTGATTTTTTACTCGGCCTCATGTTGACCCGTTGCGATTAAATAATCCTCAAACGAGGTCTTCCAATGCTTCCACTCGCTTGCAGCGTTCGGACTCTGCAAGTCGAAGTCCAGTGGTAACTTTACGGGTCCACTCATTATTATTTCTTACAATAAAGCGTTTTCCTAGCTGTAAATTAAGCACCACTCTTGTAAGTTAGGTTAAGTTTGATTAAATTTTCTTTATATTTCTTTTGGGTAGCGGACTTCGTCTATATGATCTACTTTAGATATAATTAATTATTAAAACACTTTGATGTTTAAAGATTTATTCGGATTGTAACATAACATTTGATATAACTTACAATACAGAACACCATGTTTTATAAGTGATAAGACAAGACACTTGATATGACTTGACACTTGACATATGATTAGGGTGCTTTTTCAAAACATTCAAACAATGTTCTTTATTTTTATATTGAGATAGGTATTTCTAAAATTAAGTTTGTTTGTAAAAACCTTTTGTAAGATATATTAACAATCTTTGTGCTTATCAAAGATACTGTTAGTGCCCAGAGAGCACAACTAGGTCCATTAGACGTCCATTCGATATACAATTTTGAATGTCTGGACGTCCAAAGATGATTTTTTCTGGACTTCCGACGTCCAATGGACGTCCAGTAAAGTATACAAATGGCACACTTTTAACCGTTCATAGGACGTCCAAAAAACATTCGTATGCTTTCCTTATCTGTATACAGATAGGAAAGTAAAAATAGTGTGGGTTGGTTTACCCTTTTACTGGGGGAAATGTATTTAGTCCAATTTTTTTATATCAATTTGTGCGAAAGTTTTTGGCTAGCACAAGTTTCAGTGTACCAAAGAAATAACAAAGCAAATATTGCAAAAAAAAACAAAAATATAGATTTAGTTTAATTTATTATGATTGCACTCTTGAAATATTTTATTTCGTTTAGATATAAAATTATATTGGCAATGTTTAAGCTTAGCATGATTTTTAAATATACTAGTATAATTATTATAAAATATTTTGTCGCTACAATCAAAACGAAAACTTTAATTTAATTTTATCTTTCCAAATTAAAATCAATATATATTTGTTAGCAATTTTAATATATTGATTGTAGTCAACAAAATTAAAATAATTTCGCTAGCATAACCACCCAAAAATGGTATCCCTTTTGTTTTTAACACAGTCATGTGGTAATTTCCTTACTTACCTTTTTATTATCTATCTTTGTTATTTTGTAATGGTAGGCGTCAACGTCCTAGCACCTGCAAGTGTTTCACAGCCTGTCTGGATTCGTCCGAGTCACCTGAGTAAGTCCCAGACTTACGTGTTACCGGCATTGTATAAATGTTTTCTGCACGGTTTGTCAACTAGTAGTTTTATCGTGTCCTCATCACACAATGCCTTCTTTAATGGTGACCGCAAACAACTAATATGCAGCAGATATCACATTGTCCAACATCGAACTTGATAAAAGATTATTATTGATAAAAAAGTTTTTCGTCTTTTTCTCTTCTTTCTTAAAACTTGCTTAGGCTCAAAACTCTCTAGGTATAACTTTTATTCTGCGTTACAAAGTGGCATATACCTTGAAAAATATTTTCTTAAATTCATTTCTAGTAAGAGTTTTTTTATTCCCTGGGTGGTATTTTTGTCGATACCCCTTTTTGACTTCCCTTTAACTATTTATCATATTCTCAGATATTCAAATGAAATATAGATAACGAACGGGAGCCGTTTAACATAGGATTTAACATAAGCATGCATAAGTTACTGCGTTCTTACTAAACATGCTCTCATATTTATATCTTTGTCAGATACGGCAAATAAGAGACTTTGTTCTATGGTTTTGGAGGCACATACGGCATTTTTGTTAAGTTCTATTTATAGAGTTAAATTTTATGCCAATGAAAGTTAAAACCTCACTTTTCAAATATTAGGTAGATACGGCGTTTTTGCAAGTTTGCATCCATAGCTGTTTCAGAATTTTTATAATCCTGTTTTATAAATATTTAATACAATATTAAATTTTGACATTTAAGTAAAATTAAATACTTATCTAATTTAAATTGAGGATACGCTAAAACTCAACAACAAAATAAAATAGGTTAAATGTGGTCACGCTAAATGTTGCACAAATGCACGTTTCCCTTTTTTTGGTTGCCGCTCCACTATGAATAGACGTCATGCACAATTTTTCATGAGAATTAGAGATGGAACAGCTAAAAGGGCAAAATGTACAGTTTCATAGAGTCGATGTTCGATATTATTTTATTAAAAAACTCTACAATTATTGAGTTATTTATTTCTGTCCGTTTTGCTTCCTCAACAAATCTGTTTATGGTCAATTATACCTAATTTAAGTAGAAAATTCTGGATTGTGAGTTTCTTCTCATGGGAATTTGTGTATTACTAACTTTCAATGTTTTTAATTTGCTTATTCGTATAGACGCCTACCTTGCTTATTTTAAATATTGCTTTAAATATTTTTATATAAATTACATATACAACTTTTAAATCATAAACGTTAATATTGCCCTAAAGAATAATAATAAAAACACACAATGAGCAACACAAATGAAATTTTTGAAATTTTTGGTTAATATATTAGGTTTCTTTTATCAAGTTTGCATTGCCATAGACATTAATTAATTCCAAACTTCTTTAGTCAAAAATATATATTATAAAAACATGCCATAGTTACATTCAGTAAACATTTTAAATAAAAATGTTTAATATAAATTTTTAATAAAAATCTCCAATAAAAATATTTAATAAAAATGTTTAATCAAAATTTTTAATGAAAACGTCAAATATTTTTTTATAAATATATTTAATTCAGTATTCAGTAAAAATATTAAATAAAAATGTTCAATAAAAATGTCCAATAAAAATGTTCAGTAAAAATGTTCAATTAAATGTCAATAAAAATGTTTAATGAAAATATCCAATGAGACCGTTCAATATAAATATTCAAAATTTTTTTTATAAAAATGTTCATTAAAAATGTTCAATAAAAAATACCCAATAAATGTTAAATAAAAGTGTTCAATAAAAATATCAATAAAAATGTGCATTAAATATGTTCAATAAAAATGTTCAATAAGAATGTTCAATAAATTTTTTTATTAAAATTTCCAATAAAAACGTTTAATTCAAATATTCAATAAAATTCCAATAAAAATGTTCAATAAAATGTCAATAAAAATGTTCAACAAAAAATTCAATAAAATCTTATCAAAAATGTTCATTAAAAATGTTTAATAAAACTTCCAATAAGACTGTTCAATAAAAATATTCAATTAAAATGTTCATTATAATGTCAATAAAAATGTGCATTAAAACTGTTCAATAAAAATATCCAATAAAACCGTTTAAAAAAATGTTCAATAAAAATGTGTAATAAAATATGTAATAAAATGTTTAATAAAAATGTTCAATTAAATGTCAAAAAACTGTTTATTAAATGTTCAATAAAAATATCCAATAAAAATATCCAATAAAAACGTTCAATAAAATGTTCAATAAAAATCTTCAATAAAAATGTTCAATTAAATGTCAAAAAAATGTTTATTAAAAATATCCAATAAAAATATCCAATAAAAACGTTCAATAAAATGTTCAATAAAAATCTTCATTAAAAATGTTCAATAAAAATGTTCAATTAAATTTTTTTATTAAAAATTTCCAATAAAAACGTTTAATACAAATGTTTAATAAAATTTCAATAAAAATGTTTAATAAAAATATTCAATAAAATCTTAACAATAATGTTCATTAAAAATGTGTAATAAAATGTTTAATAAAAATGTTCAATTAAATGTCAATAAAAATGTTAATTAAAAATGTTCAATAAAAATATCCAATAAGAACGTTCAATAAAATGTTTAATAAAAAAGTTCAATAAAAATGTTCAATTAAAATGTTCAATAAAATATCAATAAAAATGTTCATTAAATATGTTCAATAAAAATATCCAATAAAAACGTTTAATAAAATGTTTAGTAAAAATGTTGAATGAAAATGTTCAATGAAAATATTTAATGATTAATAATAAACTTCAATGTCAAAAAATTACATATTAAAGACTCAGTTCCATGTACCTGTATTAATATTTTATTGTATTTTCAGTGTTATTGTATCCGGCGAACAAGCCAGAGCCAGACTAAGAAGTTTGAATCCAGGTGGACGAGGAGCAAGTGATGTTGATCTGTTTGGGTAAATTATTTATTTTGAATTTATTAAAAAGATTTTGAAAAAGGACCCCGCTCAAACCTTATGGAAAAGTAATCTATGTGGGAATTGCCTGAACTTTTATTATTGTTTAGAGAAAGCCTTACTGATTAAATGTTGCCATTGCGCCAAAGTCGAATAACCAATAGTTTCGGAGATACTGGCCAATGAATGTCTCATTCGCTAAACGATCGGCTTTGTACTTTACTCTATGGAAGTTTTTGTGTTCTATCTTTTTTGAACTATACCAAAGATATTTTTTAAGACTGTTATGAAAAATTAATAGATGTCAATAGTGATGTTAAAAAAGTAACTATTCGAGTACTCGAGTATCGTTACTTAAAGATACCGAAGTAACGATCAAAAAACCAAATGATTACATTATTACTCGTATACTACGGTTTGCGGTGTAGAATATTCGCATTGGCTATGATAGGGAATGCCTGGGGCTCGATTCTCGAGACCATTGGAAAATTTTCCCATGGGAAAATATTCCACTACTTATATTCCCATGGTAATAGGTTATGCAATTCTCGAACGTGTCGGAATAGACATTCCCATGGAAATAGTAGTTTCACGTATGTCTGATATTAAGTCCACGAACATTTCGAAACAACCAATAACATTAAAGATATTTTAAAATTTACTGTTGGCATTATTTGTATTTGTTGTGGTTTTTGGGTATCCGATTACTTGCCGAGCCTCCGCGCTGGAGCAGGTGCCGTGCCGAGCAATCGCTAGCGATCGAGGAACAAGTGAAAATATTCGATTACGTATAATAATTAAAACTTGTCATTCTTAGTTTTTTCTTTTCACATGTTGAAAAAAGAAAAGGTAGCTTTTGTATGGAAGAGCAACGAAAGTTTCGAGAAACTAAGAAATTCTTTCATTAACGAAAATAATAAAATTTTCGGAAAGGTCTTATTAAATTTACTACAAATTTCTCGATTTGTGTTATTTGCCAGTCCCTTAGCAGCTCCCACAATTTCTAAATGATTTAGGAAAATCAGTTTATACAGTTTCTTAGTGAAAGAGAATTAAAAATAATATACCTACATAAATAAAATATTATCAATCTATAAATACGCCAAAAAAATGTTTTAACTACAATTTCACCAAAAGTCCAAGATATCCAATAATCTTTGGTTATGTCTTAAGACTTTCGCGTGGTCTTTCGTCAAATTTTCGACTTTAATGCGCAAACTCTAGTACAATTCCCATTGGAAAACACAATTTCCAATGCTCGTAAGCAGGGGAATATTTTCCCATACTTCTCATTGGAAAATATTCCACCGATTATGTCGAGAATACGAAAACTGAATTCCCATGGGAAAATTTTATTTTCCCATGGGAATAAAAGTCGAGAATTGACCCCCTGGAGGATGATGAAGTGGAAGTGAATACGAATACTTACGAACACGGATATTTTCGTTACATCGTGATCGATGTATATTTACTATTTACACACACAAACATAAAGTAAACATTTTTAAAACGGGTTTTTGCCTCACAGGGTTTCGGAATATAATTAATTTTCTTAAACAACGGATACTGGAAATAACAATAATCTACGTCTTTACTCATAGCAATGCCATAATAGTCAAAGTAATCAAATTAACGAATATTTGAAATGATTACTTGGCACGAAAGTAACGAATACCTACTCGAAAGTAACTCCATTTTTAGTTCTCAACTCATCATTTGTTTTTGTATATTTTTAAGTATTTGTCATTGTCATTCTGTCAAGTTAGGTTATAAATTTTTTTTGTTCTGCAAAAGAGTGTCAATTAAACCTACTATTAGTGACAGTTCATTATTTTTTACAAAGACTAAACATGGCGCATAATGATGTCATGCCCTACTTCATTTGTCCTGCTGCTTTTCGTCCAAATCTAATGGTACGTCTTGATGGCGTCAATGATATTGATAAGAGAAACATTGCTATCCAACGACATCTTGACAAAAACAGAGCCTTGATCTATATAAATGATCAAACAAGAGCATGTGCGGCTTGTAACAGGTCGATTGTAAGAGAGTTGCGTGTTTTTGAGCAAGATCCAACCTGTATGCGATTAAACGTTTTGACACAAACAGCTAACCAAACGTGTATGACATGCAATTCGCCCGATGCTCGTCGCTTAACACTTGACGCAAGAGTTGATGTATTCGTGAAAGTTGATATATATATTCCCCCAAATACAAAATGTTGTAATTTACATGTTGACGACACTGGGCGACTTTTCCAAAGGCTATTGACAAGCTTACGCTTCGTACTTCGTCCTTGTATCATTCCAGGTAAGGAAATGCAAAGCTTTTTGTCAAAACTGCGTTAATTGGCTAAAGCTGGCTTGACTATCATCAATGAGAATGACATTCCCGATGTGGACTTTCAATGCATTTCACCGGTGACAAAAGAGCAGTTCCATGAATTGTATACGTTTTGCGACCCTGTGCCCACCGACGGCGGTTTCCGTTATGTTAAAAAAAAAAGGATCTCTTAGCGTTTCTCTGCAAGTTAAAGCAGGGACTATCAGACGAATTCATAAAAGCTATATTCCATTATGGTAGCCGACATGTTAGTACAATTATTGCTACTGTCAGAAAATCTTTAATTCAACGATTTGTTCCCAACAATATTGGGTTCGAGGCTATTAGCCGCCAGAATTTCCTGGCTCAACATGTTCCCGAGTTCGCAAACACCTTGTACAATGATAATCCCGATATTTCCAAAGCCATTGTCTATATCGATGGTACTTATGCCTACATTCCAAAGAGTAGCAATTTTCACGTCTTAAGACAGACTTTTTCAATTCATAAAGGACGACATCTTGTGAAACCAGCTCTACTCATTGCTCCTGATGGTTATATATTGGCCATTCAGGGCCCCTATTTTGAGGACTCCAGAAATAATGACGCGGCTATGTTGCGCAATGAGTTGGACAATGACAGCGACATTATGCGCAACTGGTTACAGGGGGGAATATCTTAATCATTGATAGAGGCTCTGGGTATTACCAAATACATACCCCATGTTGAAAGTGGCCAGCAGCAGCTCTCCATTGAGAATGCTAATGCTTCACGGCTTGTTACGAAGACCCGATGAATTGTGGAGGCCAGAAATGGCCACATCAAATCCATTTTTACGTTATTCGGACAGCTTATTCATACTTCTAATATTGAATACCTGGGTGAATTCTATCGAATAGCGGGAGCTATTATCAATAAATACCACCCATTAATTGCTATGGAAGGCTACAACGCAGACATGGCACGTGAAATGCTGGCCAAGGCGAATGAAGTCAATGTTGTAATGGCTCGTGTGGATGAATTCAGATTGAGAAACCAAAATGCGATGTGGATACATATTGATGCGGCTAACCTGGATGACTTTCCTCGTTTGGATTTAGACTATCTGCGAGATATTACGGTTGGAATATATCAAATCAATCTTGTACCTTCATATATACAGGACAAGTTGCGGCGGGATGCCATAGAAAAGCTCCACATAGATCAGTTAAATGCAGAACCAGGATTTCTCCGAGCAAGAGTGTACTCACGATTCCGAAACGCCATCACGTACCAGATATGGATTGCTTATACTACTATTAACGAATTCGAAGAAAACGATCAGGAAGAAGATGTCATTATTGGACATTATTGCATTTGCAAATCGGGTGCTAGAACGCTGGGCTGTTGCAGTCACATTGCATCCATATTATGGTACTTGGGATATGCAAGACATGAACCTGAAATTCGGTACCCTCTGTCATAGCCTAAAGAATAATATAGCCGCGACACTCAACCTCTATGGCGAAGCAACGAGATTGGGTTTTCTCCGTGAAGTCAGTGAAGAGACGGCCAGTTAGCGGTTGCTTGTTGAGGTGTGCACAGCAGTTATTTCGATTCTTATCTGGGCCGAACTAAGGACAATTTTTGCGATTTTAAAAGTTTTATTGGGTAAAGTTTATAACGTGTAGTAGCGTATGATTTAATTTTGTATATTTATATGTGTTTGTTTGAAATGGGCAAAGAAAGACAGAGTTGCGCAGCGGTTGGTTGCATAAACAATTACAATAATAGTAAATATAGTTTCTTTCTCTTTCCTAAGGACGAGAATAGGTAAGATGTAAATAAAGTATTGAATAAAAAAACATGAATTTTAACAAGTATAATTATTGCTATAGAGCACGAACATGGGCTATTGCAGCGGGCAGAGATGATTTGGTTAAAAATTTAAAACATTCGTCTATTAATAGAATACTTTGCGGTATGCATTTTGAAAGGCACATGTTTACCAGCGAAAAATGTAACCGATTACACAAATGGGCCGTACCAACTATATTTCCGTCACTGGAGGGATCTTCAACGTCATGCTTTAATGAAAAAATAGAAAATGGTACAATATTTATTTAAAACAAGTTTACAAGGTTAAAAATAACTGTTTTTAGAGAGAAAACGGCCACTAGAATGCGAAATAGAAGACATAACTAATTCTAAAATTTTATTAATAGAAAAACCTCCTGCTGATCACATTCAGTCTAACAAAGTGAATGAAAACTGTTCAAGCAGTACAAGCAATAATAGTGAAGGTAAAATACACATAGGTCTTATGTAGTATTTTTTAATTAAATAATATTTTAGGGTCAACTCAAAAAGTTATGGCAGCTGTAACTTCTCAATCTGTTCAAACTCCTTTGGCTTTGTCAACTAGAACATCCAGGAAAGAAAAATTTCGGAAAGTCATCAAAGGAATAAGAAATAAGTATAATAGAGTTGTACAAAAACTTGAGACCAAAGTAGAAGAGAGCATTCAAAATTTAAATTTGGATCAGATAACGTTTGAACAATATAAACAACTTACATTAAAATTTTGCCCTTCAGTGGAGTTGGCCATATGCATTAATGCTGTTTTGAGTCAGATAAAGAAAAAACCGCAAGGTAAAAGATTTCCTTGGACCGAAATTATATAAAAAGGAATTAGTTAATAAACTTGGATTGCCAACGGTAAGAACGCTACAACGATTTATAGAACATATTAAAATTTCGGCTGGAATTAACGACATTGTTTTTGAAACTCTGTGTAGAAACTATTATTTATTGCAATTATGTTTATATTTTATGACACCCTGTATGAAATGATTTTATGTTGTTATGGTTTTTGAAATTGAGAATATAGTATTTTTTGATAGTCAGACGCGAGTATCATTTTTTACTATTATAATTACCCGATAAAGGCGTTACACTCTGCAAAAGAAAATTAATAATTTCCGAAGCATAGATAAACTTTGTATAATCTGTGTAGACGAAATGAGCATTAAGGCGAATTTATTTTATGCCACTGATATGGATAGAATAATTGGGTTTGAAGATATGGGAAATGGAGAAAAACATTTTAAGCCGGCTCTAAATGCAACTGTGATCATGGTGAGAGGACTATCAGCAAATTGGAAGCAGCCGTTAGCCTATTTTTTTGTCAACTCCACTTGTTCTGGTAAAATATTAAAAAACGTATTATATGATGTGATTTCACGGTTAATGAAAATTGGTTTAAAAGTAACAGCGATTGTATCGGATATGGGTACAAATAATGTACAGTTGTCAAAAATGTTAGGGGTAACACCGGAAACTCCGTATTTTTATCATACAAACACAAAAATTGTTTATATATTTGATATCCCACATTTAATAAAATCACTTCGCAATAATTTGCTTAAACACCTTTTTGAAATTGACGGATGTATAATCAGTTGGAAATTTATAAATCAATTTTTCAATCATGATCAAGGTTATCAAGTTAGAGCGGCACCCAAGCTTACAGAGTCACACATTCGTCCAAACAACTTTGAAAAGATGAAAGTAAAATACGCTACCCAAATTTTTAGTAAGATAGTGGCCGCAGGACTTCTTGTTTATATAAGGTTCGGAGAACTTCCTAAAGAGGCCACTGCTACGCAAGAATTTGTGGAAAAAATAAACAATCTTTTCGATATCCTAAATTTATCAAATCTTTTTGGATCTACGCCATTTCAAAATGCTTACAAAGCAACAGAAGAACAAAAATCCTTTCTACAAGAATGTTACCAAATGTTTGACAATTTATTAGTACGCAACTCAAAAGGTAATAATGTCACCAATGGAATAAAATGCATTGAAGGATGGAAAATAGCTATTAACGCTACCTTAGAACTATGGGATATCGTATCTAATGAAGGCATGCAATTTTTATTTACTAGGAGAACGCAGCAAGACTGCTTAGAAAATTTTTTTGGGTCAGTTAGGCAGCAAAATGGAAATTGTGTCAACCCAACTCCAATTTATCCGATCTTTTCGAAAGTTATTCTGCATGAAAATAATCAATTCAGGAACCGAGAATTGTGAAGAGGATGCTGCAAAAATTATTATTAGAGCAGCTGACATACCAAATAACCAAAACGAAACTGAATCGACAACTGAGAGTGACAAATCTGTCAAATCTCAGGACACTATTGAAAATGACTATAAAACATGCGATAATTTACAGAAAAATTTTTTTAGGTATATCTCCGGTTATTTAATAAAGAAATGCTTGGTCAAACACGAATGTTCGATATGTTTAAATTATGGAACACAATTTAAAGACCTAAATGATTCATCGTTTTACTCTTATTATCGATCGTACCATCATAGTGTCACACATTTGTTTGGTGGTTTACGCATGCCCAATACTGAGTTTCTGTACTTTGTTTCTTCGATGGAAGCCGTTTTTCAGAAAAAAATTGAGTTTTTTCCACTAAACATAATATTGTTAGTGAATTCGTAAAAGAGTTTGAAAAAATAAAATTTTACCATCCTTGTCAGCAGTTTCCACGTTTTTACCTTATGAGGTTATATGCGCGTGTAAGAATATATTATACAATAAAAGATATCAATAAAAATTTTAAACAGGCGAACAGGAACCGCAAACTTATTATTTGGAAACATTTGTAAAGCCATTTTATATAATATAACAGGGAGTAGGTTTGTTACCGAATAAGTAAACGTTTAACTCAATTTTAGTTTGATAAAATATAACAGGATAATATTTATAATATTTGCCATTTGCATGTTTTAAATATAAACTATTTAATATTTATTTGCGTTTTATTTTTTTTATAAATATGACATTTTAGTCTTAAATATATACATTTAAAATATTATATTTTCCAAATACGGCCCATGTATGTTTCGTCGCCGGCTTACTGTACGTCAAGACCGAATAATTCGTGCGGTCCCCACTACCGTTTAGAGAAATGGTCTCGCAGATATCAAAGGCGCCGAAAGAGAGTGTCGGAGCTATATTATTCTTTAGGCTATGCCTCTGTCTAACCTTCTTCATAGCGTTTCTGACGCTGCCAACCGGCTAGCGCAATAGCGGCCCCATACAGGTATCCAATGGGTTAAATTGTAACAAGGCTTTCCTTATTAAATTATTTTATTAATTGTTTGATTTAATTGTTGTTTATGTTTATCTCCACTACGAACCTTAGTATACGAGTAATTAATGTAATAATTTGGTTTTTTGATCGTTACTTCGGTATCTTCAAGTAACGATACTCGAGTGCCGAATTACTTTTTCAACATCACTATTGACAACTATTTATTTTTCATAAAGGTCTTAAAAACGACCTTTAAAATAGTTCAAAATAAGACATTCATTGGTCAGTCTCTCCGAAACTATTGGTTATTGTACTTTGGCGCAATGGTAACTTTTAATCAGTAAGGCTTCCTCTATACAATAATAAAAATTCAGGCAATTCCCACATAGATCACTTTTCCATAAGGTTTGAGCGGGGTCCTTTGATTTCCATAAAAAAATTTGCATCAAACAGGTACCTACCGTATTTTATCCACAGGAAAAAATTGAAGGCTTTAATGTTAAGTCAAACGTCAAACTTCACTTCATTTGATTCTTCTTGTTAAATTTGAATTTTATTATTCATATTAATATATGGATTTGGCAAGACATCTTTAAGACATCTTAAGAATGTCTTTCAGTTCTCACATGTTTTTCAGACATCGTGTACTATCTGGGTACTCGGATATATATGTATATATTAAGAGATACAATATCCCTTTTCAACTTTAGATTTTATTTTACCTTCCAAGGAGAATTTAATTCTTGTACCAGTTTCGTCATATTGGGGTCCTTCAGGACGAGGCAGAATTTAACTATAATTTTATTATTGTTTTACAGCGTTTTATAACAAATTATTATTTATGTTCCAGGCCGCGGACAGAGATAGCTGAAATGGAAACTGTGCTGTGATCAAAAGAATACTTACATATTACCAACCCAAATCAAGAAAATAACACCAACTCCTCTTAGGCATTGAGGCATTGAAGCACTGACTTTTTAACAAAAAACGTGCGTTCCTTATAAGAACTCACCGGCAGCCAACTCGTTACGGGCTAACACTTTTTTACGAGAGCCAAATTCAAAAGCAGCCAAATGATAAGCCAATTTGGCGCGAAAGCTCGAGGCGAGTCGGCCGTAACTGAGCGAAACGACGCGCGAAGAGTTTTTTAATTGCCTGATAACTCAAAACATAGATCTCTTATGATTACGGTGCATTGTTAATTAGTTACAGTGATTACGATAAATTAAGTGACTTGCCAAATGATAGTTTTTTAAAAATATTTATTCTGTGTCAATCAAAATATATTATAACGCTCAAACGGTATTTGTCGTAAAGTCGTACCCAATTCAGAAACTTTAGGTTTTGTTAACTATTATAGTAAACAAAAAAAAAATAGTAGGGTATAATTGATAAAGACAATTTTCCAATCTAAACTATCATAATATTAAGTTCACGGACCTTAAGAACAATAACAAGCCAACTCCTGATATATTCTAAAGATGTAGCAATACATTCGTGTAAATCATTTTCGATCAGTCTGGTCATGCTTTCTTTCTCTCTTTGCCAATTTTGCTTTCTTTCCAGCCGTCTCCAATACACGATCTTCCAGTTCCTAATGCAACTACGTCACTTTTAAACCACACCATTTTTAGCTATTTTTAACCATTTTAAACTACTATTTATTTACAGCATTCCAGTCCTGACACCAATGTAACGTTTATTTCTTTTAAACAGTCAATTATTTAATTTATATTTACTTTTTACACTAATATGTTTTATAACTTATTTATTTATGACACTGATTTGTATCTCAAAACCTTATATACTAATTGGTGTGTATTTAGTGAACTGTATGGAAAACTATATTTTGGAAACTAGTTTTTTTACCTTTAAAATAATTCTGTATCCCGTCTCGAACTTGATGAACTTAAGGAAAAATATTAGAAAAAGAAAAAGAAATATACATCGGGAATTTCACTTAACATTAAAAAATCAGAACCGGCGTACAAAATGGTCGGATTAGAATCTTTTTTTAATTAACTATCGGTGATAAGTAACAAAATACGATTGATCATTAATACGCAGAAATAATTTGCGCATGCCAAAATTAACGTTATAAAATGTATCTGCCATATCGGCAAGACAAAATACCGAATAGACCAAAACTTAATTATACATCGGCCAAAACACTAATAAATTACTTTAACAATTTATCTTTACACAACAATGTATTGATATGAATTTCTGCTCTGGTGTAGCTCTGAGTACCAGGAACAATACTTTGATCCTATTTCTCTTTCTATATTTCTTTTCATTTCAAATGGTATCCTATCTTTTTGAATTCCTAATTCTAAATTTTCAAAATCCATTACTATCCCATATTTACTTAAAATATCTACTCCTAACATCAGATCATACATTAGGTTTTCGACTATTAATAATTGCCTTACCACCATAGTTTTTCCTCCCAATATTTAAAATATTCGTTTTCCATAAATTTTTTTCCATTTGCACCAACTAATTGAATGTTTGGTATTTTTATGGTAAATTTATCTATCTATTTCTTATTTATCAATGATGCCTCTGAACCTGTGTCTATTAGAATTTTTTTTTTCCACACTTTACCTTTTATAAATAATAATCCCATTGAACCTTCTACATCGTTTTTATAATTTTCCCCCAATTTGATAAATTATCTTGGGTGTTCATATTTACAAATATTTACTTTTAATTTATTCGTTCCCTAAAAAATGCTCCCCTCCTTTTGATCTGAAATATGTTTCTGCACTCTGTTTCTTTCCTCTACTCCAGTCACTTGAATATTATTCACTCTTCTATTCTGTTCATTATTGTAATTCCTTTGTTGTTATTGGTTTCTGTTATTCCTATCTTGATCTACCCTATTTTTATTTCTATTATCCCATCTATTTCTCTAAACTCTACTATCATTTTCACATCTTCCCTTCCTATCATAATTATTCTGTCTTTGATCATTAAATTGATAATTTGCTTTATTATATTGATTTTTCCATGATCTATTTCCGTTCTGTTTATCTACTTACTCATTGTTTCCTAACTCACGTTTTGCCACACGTCCACCATTTCTATTTCTTTCCCATTCATTATTTCCTAACCCTTGTTTAATCCGTGTTAAATATTTATTCAAAATATTCGTGTTTTTGATATTTTGTAATATAATTGTTTCAGTTATCTCAAATTTAAAATGTCTCGCTATATATTGTACAATTTCTTCTTCATTTATTGGAGGTTCAAGATCTTGTGCTATATTAAATAATTGTAACGCATATTGGCTATATTTCATATAATTTTTATCAATAAACTTCCCAAAATATAATTTTTCCCTCACATTCGATTGAGCTACTTCTCCCCAATAGTTATCTAAAAAATGTTTTTCAAAATCGTTATAAGACTCGAATTCTTTTTCCCTACTATAAAACCATACTAATATAATCTTTTAATATGTTTAAATTCTTTATCCTATTTTTCAACGTTCTTACAAATACTTTTGAGTGAATTTTGTATATGTCACCATCAAATATATTTTCTATTTTTCCTACTTGAAAAACACCCGAATTTCTTATTATACCTGTATGTTCTAACCACTGCAGCTTATCATCTACACCTTTAACTCTTTCCTCTGATATTTTTTTTAACCAATTCCTGTACCTTTAATAGATTATCATTAATCTCTGTGCCTACAAACATTTTTATCTTTTTGTCTTGTACTTTTTCTATCTTATCTATTCTTCTTTTAACCTCTACCTTAAAGTCTTTTTTATTTTGCTCCAACTTTCTATCAGTCTCCACTTCAATTAACTCAACTTCTTGTTTTAGTTCGATTTTCTGACTTTCTTCTCTCTTGATAATGTTCTTCACCTTACAACTAACTCCATACCTAATTTTTCCTAACTCTTTCATAATATTAACCTTATTATCCCTAATATTCATCATCTCCTTATCTGAGTCCATCTTTTGCATTATCATAACAAATATTTGCATCATTTTGTCTTCATTTTCCTAAATCTCCATTCCTTGTTCTTCACTATCTACAACTTCCACTAGCTCAATATCTTCTCCTGCTCCTACCTTTTCCCATCTCTTATCGATTATTTGAACTATCAAATTTTAAAGCCCTAATGAAATGACCTCTCTATTGAATATTCCCAACACCTGCCTACAACCAATGACAGATGTCACAATAATTAATAGTCTTACCAACTTTGTTTTATTGCAACACTCTGACCCGTGCTGCGCCTGATGTTGAACATACATCTGCACCAGATTCTCGGTTTCTCGAAATATCTACGCGTCGTCTCAGATTCTCGGAGTCAAACCTCGGAGTAGTCTCTTATTCTCAGTTTCTCATGGCCCCACTTGGGCGCCACGTGATATGAATTCCTGCCCTGGCGTAGCTCAGAGCACCAGGAACAATACTCCTGAGAGTGTACTTCTCTCTGAAATTTTATAAACAATTTAAAAACTGATAACAATAATAAAAAAAATTATTCTCAGTCTTCTCTCGGATTCCTGTAATTTCTAAATTCAAAACTAAATTTTCGAGTTAATTTTTTTTCCTTTCTGTTACCAGCTACTGAATGCTTTTAGAATTTGTAGATTATTCAGAATTTGTCATTATCAATAACAAATAAGAAAATTAATTCCCTGTAGAACAACTTGTCAATTTAAAAATTTATCTTTTGGATCTCTTTTTCTTTGATTCTTTCTAACAGTGCTATACTGTTTACTTTTTTCAAAATTTGTGGTCAGTAATGCTCAGATTTTCAAAATATCCATTTATTGTTAATTTATATACATCGACCAATCTTCACTGTGATTCTTATTGCTATTGTTTGTTTATTTGTATCAAGAAACTATTATTATTATTATATTGAATTTGGAGAATCGTTACAAATTCTGATCCTCCCATCAATTTTCATAATTACCAAACTGATTCAATTTTTTTGCATCAATAAAAATCACAATTTCTGTAACAACCAATTAACTTTTACACATTTCACATAGTGAGTGATATCTTTCCTGATGCTCAAAATACACCCAACAGGAATCCACATCAATATATCTATATTAATATGGCCATCCCAAATGTTCTTCAACATTCTAATTAACAATCTCGTGGCCTTTCAAAATATTCAATATGGATCCTATCATTCTTTTGTGATAGCGCATTCACTAAAAATCGGTCTCTTTAGGAACTTCGCCATGGCTATTGTACTTTCTAGACTAGAATAAATAATATAGGAGAGTTTTGGATCTTATTATATCGAATATTATTAGTAATCGGTAAAATGGAGGCAGTAAGAGGCCCAAATAAAGCATATAAGGACTAAAGGGATTAGAGGAAGACCTGACTTGTCAAAAATGGCTTGCAGGATATTTATCTTCTAAAAAATATTTTCATAAATTTGAATCGCTAATCACTAAGCTTGACTTTGGTTGCAATAAAATTTAGCAATATAAATGTTTATATTATAATATAATAATGTCCCTAAAATTTCACAACGAAGCATAAATGAAAATGTTATCCTTTAATTACCTATGAATCTTACAAATTTACATGCAAATGTTTATTCTAACCAATTTCTTACAAGTAAAAATGTGTTTAAAACCTTCATAGGATATTATAAATACTCCTTATGTCCAAGATTCACTGCCATTTAATGTTACTGTTTCAGTAAAATTCTTGTTTACCTTCAACTTAAAATAAACTTTGGACAAATTATATCATGGTGTTAAATACATTCCCTCGCAATACCAAATATCTCCAATAACACAAACTTTTAAGTTGGTTAAAGTAAATTATAAAATGTATTAGTATTTTATAAAATTGGTAAATCATAACAATGTAAAAATTTATGGTTCGACGTTACGACAAATACGGCAGTAAAATCGCTTTTACATAATTTATTAACAGGAAGACTTTAATACTTTCTTTCTGTTTGTCAGTGTTTTTATTTAAAAAAATATTTTTAAAGAATTTAAAAACGGCACTGATTTTGCTACAAAATAAATACGATTTGAAAATGTTGGGTTTAGATATTATTAATCTTTTTGGTTAGTGTGATAATTTGTATTATTAAAACCTGAAAAAAAGAAGACATTGTAGATAGGAAAAAAATATATACGTAAAATTTGAAAGTTAAACAGACCGTAATATAAAAAATATAACTGATTTTTAAATATCTATTTTAAATTTAAATACCTACCATTTACCTTTATTAAGTTTAAGACAATTTTAATAATTTTAAATGAAAAAAAAAAAGTAATCATTAGCTGTTTTTTTATTTAACATTTAACATCTGATAGTTATCTTACTGAGGCTGGTTTCAATAACTTCTTTTGAAGTTAAATTTTATTTCTTATATTCTGATACACCTTGTAAATCTTTGGCTGACTAGTTAGTGATGCTTCTTGTATTTGATATACTTAGTTAAATAAATGAAATTGGAGTTTCAAATAACACTTTATCACAAAATAGTTTACTGAAGAAAATGTTATTAGTTTACTTCTTTTAATACTGGTTAATCTTGAAAAATATGGTAAATATTGTAGAGAATTATTTAGAGGGTTTCCAAATCATTCTTGAAATAAGGTTTTGTTTAGATCAAGATTAAACATTTATTTTTTATGACAATTCTCATAACCAGTCAACCAAATCCATTTCCCTGGAGACCGCTACAAGATATCCTCTTAGAGGATAATCTATTACAATACCCCCTCCATCAGAAAATCATCACTCTTGTGATGATATAATCTTAGGTTTGATACATGGGCAACTTCTTCCTTTTGGCCATTTTCGTAGTGGAGATAAGCTCCTTCCATCTATTTTGTACCTATTACTCTAAATGGTCCCTTTACAACAAATTGTTTTCCTATTTTCTGACTTCTTACTAGGATAAAATCGTTCACTTTCACGTTTTTTTTTATTTGCTTGCTTTTAAATGTTTTGTTTATATTTCAACTGTTCTTCCAAAGATTAAGGAGATTCTTTTAGGGGCCCTTTATATTAAATTTAGTCAGCTTTTAAAAGTGCTCTCTTTCCAAACAATTTGTAATTAGGTGAACATCCCAGGAACTCACTATGGGAATAATTATGGTGTCGCAAGGATGTTTCATGGCATGTTTTCCAACCACCCCTAAAATCCTTATAACATTGCATGTACGTTTTTATTTCTCTAACATTTCGTGTGGATAAGTTCTGTCCCCTTCGAGGTAGCTCATTTTTTAAATGATCCAGATGTCAACACAGATGCAGTCTGTGACAACTGTTTTTATCTGGCTTAAAAAAAAGCTTACTAATAGTGTTTCAAAGCCGCACCACTTTCCTATATTGATTTGGCACTTACATGTCTATGAGATTCATCTAATAGAACAATAAATGATTTTGTAGTTCTCTTTTTATTTCCCCGAAATTAATGTGAATCTTTTCATAGGGATTTTGAGAACATGAAGATAAGTGTGTATAATTTGGTTTGGGATAATATTTAAATTTTACGGTTTGGCATATTTCACAAGTTCTTATATAATTTTTAATGTCTTTACTTAATCCTTTCCAAACGAACCGCTTACTTATCTTATAATATGTATTGTAATAACCATAATGACCTCCAGAATGGGATCATCATGGTAAGATTGTAAAATTTCTCCCTTTACATCTGATTTTTTACTAGGAACCTTCCATCCTCTTGTTTTTCCAAATCCTGTACATTTAAATTGCACCAAAATGTTTCTATCACCTCATCAGAAAAATCCACGTACAATCTTGAGATTGCATCACTATCTTCTAGTTCCTTGCTAGATTTGCGGTTGTTTAACATATCAAAACTGCTTAAAAATATTTTCCATCTAGCTAACCTATCTCTTAAAGCACCTGTTGATAAAATATATTTCAATGCTCGAACTTTTTTGATTCCAGCAGACTTCTTTAATGTTTTACTGCTTTTACAACCACAAGGCAGTCTTTTTCTGTGACAGAATAACTTTGTTCATATCTATTAAAGGTATAGGAATAGTATGAAATCAATCTTAAGTTTTTTGTTCTTCACCTGTTCCTCATCTCTTTGGTATAAAATAGCTCCACAACCAAAATAGGAACTTTCGTTACTAAGCTCAAATTTTAACCTAGGATTTGGAATTCTTAAAATAGGTTCTGATGTTATTAATTCTATCAATGTTTTAAAAGATTTTTCACATTCATCAATCCAAAGTAATTTCGTATTTTTACATTTTAATATGTCAAGTGGTCATACGATATTCGCATAGTCTTTTATAAAATTTCTAAAATGGTTTGTTTTTGTTTTTTCATATTTTTTACCGTTTCAATGGATTCATTTTTCATTTTCTTAATATCATCATCAATTTTCCTACTAATAAATACAATTTTGGAAACACAAAATTTTCATTTTGTTAGATTTATTTTAAAGTTATGTTCATAGAGTTGGTGCATGACTTCTGTCGAAAGCTTGGAACACTCGTTATAAGTATATCCTCAACACATAATGTCATCGATAAAAATTACTACATTCTTATCAAGTAGTTCACCTAAAGCGTCCTGCATTATTCTTTGAAAATATGCCCTAGAGTTTTTCTATCCAAAAGGGAGCCTTATAACATCGTAATGCCCATCTTCTGTTACAAACGCCGTATATTTCTGTGTCATTTTCGATATACTTATATTCCAAAACCCATCCTATAGCAGAAACGAAACGTCAAACGTGAAACGTTAAACGTGGAACGTGAAACGTCAAACATCAAACGTCAAACGGTAAACGTCAAATGTCAAACGTGAAACGTTAAACGTGAAACGTCAAACGTGAAAAGTCAAACGTGAAACGTCGAACGTGAAACGTCAACATGAAACATTAAACGTGAAACGTCAAACGTAAAACGTCAAACGTTTCGGTATTCTCTACATAATGCCGTTTTTCCCGTTTGAATCGGACCACGTGATACACGCTAAGGCCCTT